TTTTATATCTATTCGCAAACCCACAGTTAAAAATCCTGTTGCTACTAATAATGTATAAATCGCAAGGTGTACTTTTAATTTTTTTTTGACGACAGAAATCCGACACCGTCGTCATAACCTAAGCTAAGTGGAAATAACATAATTATGTTATTTCCACTACCCATCTTTCATTACCACCACATTTCTCATGCACATGCTTTTTTTGTGAAGTAATGGAACTATCACATGGGTAGGCAATTACAAGCTGAATTGACCCTTTTACTTTCTCACATTTGCTATGCATAATCCTCTGAACATTTTCAGCATCCTTGTAACACTCACCATTTTTTTTTGTGTAGAGTTTTTGAGGATCAGTTGAGCCCATAGCATGGACACTTTCCTTAATAATTAATACATAAAGTATGGCTTTTAATATAATAATACAGTTGTTCTCGATTCCACTCACAAGATATGCAGTACAATACTGTCATTGACTTTCTAATTGAAACAAAGCACTTGTAATGATAGGCATGTCCACAAATCAGAATACAGCCTACCTTGTACATTCCTCCAAATCGCAGTATCTATTCATGTGGGGAGGTTGTGATGTATTCCAGGCCATTGGCAGTATTTTAACATCAACTTGAACTCCAAGTGTTGGAAGTTCACAAACTTTGGATTTTGAATGTACATTAGATGAGATTACTCCTGCCATTAGTTTGGTCTGCTTACTGTGAGGAATCAACCCTAAAAGATATCAAGGTTTGAGAAAATGATCATAACGCAGTCACGGATAGGGATTTATTTACTTACGGAGTCTCGCTTCATCAAGCTCTGCACACACCTCATGATATGCCGCCTCTAGTTCTTGAAAATCCGACTCGGGATAAATAACGTCATTCCGTAATACACATGAAATTGCTTTATATTCTCTTTCGGAATTCTTTCAATAGCTGGCAGATAATAGGATAAGGTTGTATATTCTGAGTCATTATCTGTTTGATATAAACAATGATGACACATCATTGCTCCCTGCGGTAGTTTAAAGAATTTAATCAATCGTTCCGGAGCTTTTTTAAATTCTTCTCCTTTGTATTGTATCTTGAGATCATGAATTAGTTTTTGACTTTTTTGCATTAAAACTATTAACTATCGTAATGTTTTCGGCATAAAGCTTGGCCGACTAGATCCAGATGTTGGCTCGATCGGATATAATAGATGCTCCATGTTGTTCATAATCACAAGCAATGTTATACTGGCCCTCCAGGCCTTCCTTTTTCCTGTTTTCTCATATTGGCTAGTTGGCATAGACATCTTGCTCGAAAACTGTCGTATTCTCGTTTTCGTGATAATATGAACGCCTTCTACAATAGAGCGTGAAAAAGTGCTTGTTAGCTAACTTCCGAATTATTTCACTGCTTACCGAATTACTTTCACAATGTTTAGAGTTTTCGAAATTTTCTAGCCCGACCTCCAATCAGATCAAAGTTTGCTATGCTCTGCGGAGTATGATGAATTTGGACATCATTCATGTTGAAACAATTTTTTTCAGACGGGAAAAAGCTTTGCGCGTTTCGCTGCTCCATCTCTCTTTATACTTTCAGCTCATGGAGCGAATCCCATATAGGCAAACTCCAAAAAAACTGAGAACATCGATCAAGTCGGCAACTGTAGGATAATTAGAGAGGGGAATCTCTATACTAAAGTAAACGCGTTTGTGAACAATTAATTAACAATCGTACCGTGGATCAAAAACTCGCAGTAATACGTTGCCAGTAATACCCCTGGCTGCTATTACAAGTTTTATCGCTTGTTCATCGTTAATAAGCTACACCGGGAGTCTCAATAGAGGGTTGTTCAATGGAAAATCGAGGACTCGTCGGGGCGGACTTATCGAATTACATAATTTTTTAAATAAATGCATTCGCCAAAACAACCGTATTGCTTGTGGTTTCTTCTCCCTCTTTTCTTTCTTTTTCTTCTGGTACTTTTGTATTGACGAAAACGGTGAAGCAAAATTATCGGATAATTAATTGTATTTTATTTACTAAAACGGTAAAATAAAATAATCACGTGGTCCGACTTATTGACATTGACTATGTGATAAAAGAATTTGTATGCTATTTACTATATATAATACATAGATGCTATTTATATAAATTTTAACATTACATATAATTATTAATTTCGCTGTTCTCATTTCCGACTCGCTTTATGACTTTTCTTTTTTTGCTTCTTTTTCTGCGTTTCACCTGACCCTCGTCGTGGAACTTTCTTCTTCTTTTTGCGTTTAGCCTCGTGGAACACCCACGCAGATTCGACCACACTCAATACGATAACCGTATTGGCGGTATGTGCTTCATCTATTTTCGAATACGCTCTTTTGACCATTTTAGCCGTGTGTCCATCCGGGCACCATATATGCAATATTTGCTTCCATACCCGGTCGCCGATAATATTTCTAGTCGATGAATTAATCCCTGAGAGTTTCTTCTTCAACAGCGCGCGTGCATCTTGGGATGTGTATCTCCTTTTATGAGCGTAGGCACGTGTCACCGATATGCCAATGGTTACAGGGATTTTATGGCGTAATTTGACCAAATAATCTGTCATGGGTTGATTAGAAAAGCGATATCGTACTTCCATTTCCGTTTTAGATAGTTCCGCTCCGAGTATTCGCTCCATTATCTCGCACGAAAATACTTCAGATAGCATACTAGTTCCCCCTGCATTTGGTAATGTTAACATCTTTGCTGCACCTTTGCTTAATTTAATATCTTTAAAGGTTTTTTCGTGAGCATTTACGTTCAGTTTGATCAAGCCTCCATACGATTTTTCGGTTAATCCCAATAATAAATTCAAGAGATCATGGGATGTTGTGTGAACAGTGATGTCGCTAAATGGCACAAACAGGTGGGAATTGTTGTCCGATAGATTTTCTGAATTCAGGAATTCCTCCTTCAAATTGCGGGATTTGACCATGGAGCGTCGTAGGGGATCGGTAATCGGATAGTGACCCACTAACCGGCTGCCCGTAGCCGCCATAATGGAGGGAATACTGATTTGCAAGCTCCGAGGAGGTGCGCCGCCAACCGGAGAAAAAACGACATGGGGAGTACTTGTTGGTTGGCGGTAAACAAAGAGCAGTGGTCATGGCAGAAGTGCGGACACGAGTATTGTTGACGGTAGAAGTGTTGGAAGTCGTGTTTTTTACAGACATGGTTTCTTTTGTGTGTGGTTGAAGAAGAATGGATGTTGAATTTGTATTTGTCTCGATTGAACGAATTAAGCTAAGCTGTTGCAGTCGATAGGACAGGACAAGTGTTAAGCTTATAATGGAGAAAACTTGAATATTGCGAATTTGACCTCTTATATCTGACACGCCCGCAGAAATCTTATTTCCTCCGCAGTAATGGGTATCATGATGAGTCATAGTGCGCAGTACCACTGAGCGAAGCGAATGATATAATGGTGATTACACAGCATCAAATTGTAACTCCGGTTTAATTAAAGTAATAACGGGTAGAATTGCTTTTGGTTACTGCGGACAAAGTAAAAGTAGGGAAAAAAGGTGGAAAGAAGATGACATCGAATGCATCGATTTTAATCAAGCTTTTCGAAAACAAATAGTTGATGTCAGTGTGTCCTAATAATTCAGCAAATCAACTTCATTTAAAAGCCTGTTTAAACCATTCATAAACTGTCAAGTATAAAAATTTATAATACAATATTTCGAGTGTTCCGATGAAACAGACTGGGTAAACACCCCAATAAGGCATAACATAAATAAACAAGTTTACCAAAAACTTAAATCGTTATTTTAATAAAGTATGCACCACGCACGTGTACAATATATTTATCGTTAATTCATATACAATCTAATAAAAGATTGCCTATAATAGAAAAGTAAACATACATATAGATGCAGGGAGGCTTATAATCAATTGATGAGAAAATGGCTTATAATCTAATTGACGAGAAAATGGCTTAAGCTTATTTGTCAATACATATAAAAAATCTTAATAAACATAAACTTATTCGCTCCCGTTAATCAATATGCAAGGCTTCGAAATAGTCGCCTCACTTTATAAAGCTCCTCATTGTATATTGACGCATGTATAGGTTGCTTACCATCATCGATTATCGAAAGATGAAAATCAATAACAAAAATACGTTCTCCTGTTGGGTTGAATTCATCTACGCCAACAATTATGTTGTCTGGGCGAATATCGTTGTGGAGCACCCCAAGACGGTGAATGGCACGGACAGCTCGTATCGCATCCTCTTCGTGCCGACGTTGAAGGGAAGATGCACGCTTGATGTAATTGGTACACACAACATACATTTCTCCGTCCAGTGAAAGTCCGTGATGAACGAGTGAAGGAATATATACGCCTATTATGAACATCAAAAATACTCTAAATGAGCTGCTGCAAAACGGCATTAAACAATTAATGTAGACAAGATATTACCTTGTAGATTCTGAAGTTTTTGGTATACGCTCACTTCATGTTTAAGATACTCTGTTCGTAGAATGTCGCCCGTTGGATGATATTTTAGAGCAATCTCCCTGCCGCGATAAAACACTCTGTAAATAATGCCATTTGCGCCTCGGCCCGCTTCTTGTTTGTGCCACAACATTTCTTTCCAGATGATAGCGTCTCTTGCTGGGCTGACAACAGGCCCTTTTTCTGCATCAACTTGCTCAAGAGATGAAGTCGATTCGAAACTGACAGAATCGTCTGTGATTGGCATTGGAAGAGACACTGGGAAATCCTCACTATATTATTATTATCCGATTTAAATATTAATATCTAATGTATTAATAATCGATATTTAAAATCACGTGCTCTTTATTTCTCACCTGCTGTCAGGGGTGATCATGGACGATAGGCATACGTTATCCGTACTTGCCAGTTGGAAAATGTAATACAATGCTTGAATTAACGTGGGTACGCGATTGGTGCGCATTTGCACGTCTGAAACCAGGAGATGCGATGGATCAGACTCGGAACGCTTCAAAAACCAAGTTCTTTCATAAGTAGTTAGAACACCATAGCGGAGCCTCTTTTCGACCATGTAATCGTAAACGAGATCGATGTGGGTTTTGAGATCGCCAACATTATTTTGGTACTCATGAACGATGTTGGACCCGTGTTTGCATTGCGTATTGAGCTGAATTTGCGTTCTCAGTGCAATGAACGTAATCAATTCCCCAGTAGCATTTGAGCGCAATTGCCAATCGACCCGGTTGATGGGTGCGGTAGGATTTACTCGAGATATCCATGAGGTGTATCGGAATTCAGGAAGATTGGCGATAATTTTCAAAACAATGTCTTCCATAGCGTCTGCTAGATTTCCTTTGGCGGCAATAAAGATTTGTGGAGGGACTACGGGCCATCTAAAGTCATAATCGGCAATTACGGTTGTGTTTCTAGCTTCTTGCATAAAAGAAGACCATTGGGACACGGTTGATGGCGATTGCACTTTTCCGTAATTATAGCATTCATAGACGTAATTTGGGACGTAAATCGCTGGCGGTAGAGCAATCTGATGGATACAATTTGCATTGTAAAAAGAGCGTTGGATTGTTGTTTGCATGGTACCAAATGTTTCGCTAGCGAGTGAATTTGAAATTTCGTTTGATATTCCAACCATGAGCAGAAAATGTATTTTTTTCCGGAGATGTGGCATTACGCTGGAAGGTGTGGTCATTTTAAAGAGTTTAGAGGCGCTATTGATGTATGTTTTTGTTACCGTCTGATGTAGGCCTTTTGGGTATAACGACCAAAATTTTTAATATTTTAATTATTGCATAGAATGACAGTCAATTTCAAAAATACGTCTACCATTTTGAGCAGTTAGTGGGAAAGTCCACATTCGAATAACGTTTGTGCAAGCATAAACAATGACATTCGATATAGGAACTGTGATCGATCGTCACATGGCGTAATTGAATTGACAAACGGGAGTTTTTTTATATCTCCGATAACATTATAATCATGTATTAGACCTGTGTATCAACACTTCTACAATTCTTTGAAAGTAATACGCAACTGAGAAATTTGGTCGCTTCTTCAACAAAAAAAAAAAGGTACGATACTACAATTTGTAGTGAGCATTCCAATGTGATCTGCATCGTCAGCATGTTTGTAAGACAAATTCATCATGAATGGTAAATTAAAACGCATAATCCGATAAGGCAAGAGTGGTAGATTGAACAACACAAGCCACAAAACAAACAAGGGGACAATGGAGCGGCCGCATACCTGTTTAGGCTATATTACCTCCTTCATATCCAAAAGAGCAATGTATGACATGCATTTTCATTATTAACTTGTATGAATTAAATTTACCACTAACGATCTCTACGTCCACTCAAGTGGTTTCTGGTGCTTGACATGGTAAAATGAATGCATAGGACTTTTAAAATTGGGACATATTCATGGACGTAAACAAGAGCGCTCCAGTTGACCGGATACGACCAAAAAAGCAAGATTTTTGTCATTGAACTTGGATATTCCACCATTCATCTCTTGTTACCCTTATTTTGGTATATGTTCACTCAAGCGTTTTCCGGAATTGAAATAGTGGAATGAATGCCAAGCCAAACTTTGACATCGAAAAACAATCGGTTGGCTCTCTCGTCCAACCTGCGATAGACTTTTTTGCCCCAAAAAGTGCGGAACGTGGGTTGTGAGTACTTTTGTCCGCTGTCACTGTCTATTAACACCTTTATTCGAAGCGATTCCGGACTTGCAGAATTGAATTATCTTTGAATGAGAAACATGTTGTTATCAGTGGGTATAAACAAATAGGTCCAGTAAACCGGTTCGTATCCAAAGGAGGGGAATATGGGCAACTTATCCACTAATGACTACTTTTGCTAATACCCTTGCTTCGGTGCCTGTTTTTTTTTTTTTTTTTTTGGTTCCAACCCACTCGTATGTTTTGTCTTACTATACGAAATGACTTGAATGGATTTATCAATAAAAAAGTTAGAGCCATCTGGTGATACAATTTCGTCAATGTTATTTTACTCGGGTTGATTCTACGGAAAGATAAGTAGAATGCCTTTACTAGAGTTGCACTACGTATGTATGTGCTTTTGTAATGCAATTTACGAGGTTCCATATCTCTAGAATAAGCAAAACCGTACATTACTACCGAATATGTTGATATTGTCTTAGCATTGTTCTCCCCTAGTATTAGCTTTCTACTTTACTTCCGAGTCTTGTATTATTGATATCTGCTATCCTTCAAAACAATGCCTTTCGCTTAGCATTTATTACTAGGGACACTCCTTTCGATAAATATAAATTTGATATTAACTTTGTAACGTACGTCGAGGTTAATTCGAATAGTAAAACTTAAAGAAAATAAAAGACAGCTCAAATTAAAACTCGAGAAAGACTGTGTCTGCTATTATGTTAACGTAATTTAGACATATCGATTATGTATCAGTTTCTTTCCTGGAAGAATTATGGTAGTAATAATAGAACAACAATTATGATGTCGTGACAGATGGTGATAAATGGGATATTCTGGGGACTATGAAATTATTATCCAACAAGCAAGACATCAACATCACGGAATGACATTTCTATTATACTACATAATCTCAAAAAGCTAACCCCGGCAGTTCTCAATTGTGTATCAGTCTGAGCAACAGAGTTTTTTCATCAGCGCGAGTTTTCTTCCTAGATATCAAATTAGTATTACCTATTCCTCCATCCATGGCCAATTACAGGCGTCTTGTTCCGGCTTGGCCAGCAGGAGCTTTTAAAGAGCAACCAAATTTTCAAAGATTTATTGCTTATATATGGAATGACCTGTAAAATAATATGGACACTCTGAGCAATCATTTATTCTTCTTGAACAGCTTTGGTGCTTTAAATATAAGGAACAACATAGTTTTATAATAATAAGGGTAGAGCTAACCCTACATCGTTTGGTCTATCAAAGCACGGCACTACCAAAGATTCTAGGGTTATTTGAGTGGGTCAGGTTACAAGATGCCTTTCCTTGCTTAGTTTCTCAGCCTCACACGTTCTCTTCCTGATCAACAAAACGAACGATTTGTCAGACGCTTCGGTAAACAGCACGAATTCTACTCTGTATTGTCATGCCCACGCTTGATGGCTACGCGTTCGAAGAGACGACCTGCGGAAATGTTGACTTAAAGACGACCTAGTTGATTGATTCACAAAAATCCCAATTTGACGACCAGATCACAAGAACAAATGTTGTAGCAATTGGAACGTTTGGTTTAAAAATTGAAACATTGCATTATATGTCAACATACTGTAGGTGAAACTTCCAGAATACTTCCACATTCCGGTAACACCTTCGATAGATTTTTGACAGACTCAGAGCCTATTGTATATCCTCTCCCTCGCAACGCATCCCAGCTCCGTCATTGGTTTCTGGGTTCTACCCATGCAGGCTGCTCGCGTTTTTCTAGTGGACGTTCGGCACGAGACGCCTTCTGATTTCTGGAAAGAGATTTGAGCTTCGGAGTGTCCGTCTGACCATGAGAAATAAGTCGGCCTTGGTAAAACAGCCGAATAATGACATGGATATGTCAAGGTTAAAATATGTTATAACGTTGTTATGTGTTTTAACGTACGGTTCCATCAACACGCTTCGGCTGCCAGATAAAGGACTTGAATTAATCAAATGCGACGACCGAAATAATGCTTCTTATATTCCTCATCACTGCGCTCGGCCAGTACTGTAGCTTCACATTATCTATCCTCTAATTCGATCTCATCCCATAGCTTTGGTGACATGTTATGTCAGCAAAGTCTACTCAGTAACCCTGAAGGACAAAACAGAAGACTCAAATACAGTTTTGGACGGGTTTGTATCCCAAATATTACACACGTTCAAAATGCGAACTCGGGTCGACATCCTTTACAAATCTCATTATACATTTCCCGTCAGACAGCGCACAATCGGTAAAATCGTTGCTTCTTTTTTCTTTTAGTTTTCATTCTTTTGACATAATCTTCTTTCAAGTTAGATGTTGATGATTTCAATATCTTCGCCAAGGTTGGTACGATTACTCCTCTCATTATATTTTCCTCTATAGGGAATTAGTGTCAATAGTTCTCTGTGAATGTTGTGAGATGCACGTCATATTTGCATAAAGATGTGCAGTTAATCGCTTTGGGAACTACAATATTTGGCTTTATAGACTAGCCATTTTAGTATCGAACATACATATGTGATTTTCGTACCCAAACTAGTGCTCTCCAGAATTAAACCGACTATTCGTGCATTCCCAAGCGAAAAAAATCAAATTTGTTACCTGCATATATCCGTTCTTCGGTGCCGCCAAAGGTTTTCACTTCGTTGGTTGACAAACACAAACAAACAGCAAAACGGCCCGAGGCTTGAATTCTTGTCGATGATGCATGTGCACGCAGTTCTGCAATATTAATATACCAACCACCGAAGTAAGAATCAAAAGTCACTAGGAATCTTCAGAATATTCTAGAATAACGAAACTTCTGGTAGCGCTATAAAGCGTGAGAATCGACTAAGCGGGTTTTTGGATGAGGTGCTAAGCCGCCTTAACAGACTTTACTTCAAATATCGGCCGCAGAGGTCTACACAGAGTAGCTAAAGTCCAAACGAATCGAAGGTATTAGAATACCTTGTACGCACATGTACATACCTTAATGGACAAGAAAAACTGAAGTATTGCGGGAGACTTTGAGAATGTTCCTAACCAAGAATGCAAATTCCCCCGAGAATGTTAGGGGACAATCAACAAATTGTAGGCGGTATAATGAAAGAGCAAGACCTGATATACTGACACACAAATTTAGTGTCGCGTCATGCAAACCAAATTATTGTTGATCATTGTCATTTAGGGTGTGGGAATAACTTTGATAAAAAATTTTCCGGTTTTAGGATTGATTCTAGTACTTTTAGGGATGTTGTGAAATGGAATTCACCAAACGAGGAAAAACTGCAGATGCGATGTTCTTTAGCAGGCGATTAAAATGAACAGTTAGAAAACTTCAAATTTCATGAAGGGGGAAACTGAAGAACTATTAGTCAGAAACCCAATTCTTTTTGACATTTATATTGACGATAATTTCCCAATGTATTTACCGGACTTGTCAATCATCACGAGAGGCAAGCATAACTCTCGAAGCTTATTCTTTACCAGACATACGGTTCAATCTAATGTCATTCCTCTTTAGGAAAAAGAAGTGCTCTGGATTATTTCTTACATGCTTAGTGATATTATCGTCTCGTATAGAGTGCGACTTTATTGTCACACTACACCAAAGCTAGATGGTATTATTATCCATCTCGGAACACTTTCCCCCTTGCCCGCCCCAATTTTTGAAGATCCTTAGACTCTATGAGAACTTTATGGTATGTTCGACTGTTGGAATTAAGTTCTTATTGATGTTCTCATTTGGCTTTCTGTATGCAGGACACAAACCTTGATTCATCGCAGAAAGAACATAAACCGCAAATGTGACATTTGGGGGCGATGTCAGCCTTTCCGTATGGACTTGTATCCAAAGACTCGTAGAGTTGATTGCATCTTGCGTCCGACATATAGATACAAGCATCTGCCTCTGACGAAACTTTTGGTTTCCCACTTTTGGGTTCGCTGGCAACATTCCCCTTAATCTTGTTCGGAGAGTCCTCTCATATATCAGGTTTTTGTCTTGTCACATTACATCTCAAAATGTTATTTTTTTCGACAAAGGAAAAAGGAATGTATCTACACATACACCACACATATTCCTGATCACAAATTTCAGGTGATCGAATATGCGTTGCATGGTAGATTACAAAGCAAATCAGGTTTCAAACATCTGCTATCTCGAAATTAGAATGTGTGACTCACCGATGGAATACAAAGAGGAGACTAGAATGATGGATGATTATGAAGTGGAGGAGCGTTTGAGTTAAGGTCTGGCTTGGCTTGGCTATTACTACGGCTACCCCGGACAAATCGTTAAGACTGCGGAACAAGAAATGAAAATAAGGATGATTCCTCTGTTGAACATACATTTGTATGATAACAATAAATAACCTTATAGTGAAACTTGTTAACTAAATAGGAGACGAGTTTATAGCCGAACGAGGTGATTGGTTATGTGACCATGTTTGGTGTTGAATGAAAACTTGTTATTATCGGTTAATTATGATTGTTGACTAATAAGAAAATACCTCTGTTCAGGTTAGGGTGTATTAGGGTGTATTAACAGTGAGATTTCGATAACAATTATCCAGAAATATTATGAACGCACATATAAATAACCCATTATACAATCATATGCAACATATATTGTAATAGTTTCATCTCCATTTGAATAAGATCTTCGCTTTCCTCTATCAGACAAGTATATTAATATCACATATTTATCTAACAGCATTAAAATATATTCCGCTTCTCACTATTTTTGTTAGTTTGTCTTCGTCAGCCACATTGAATATTCTCCTCAACTCTTTGTGTATGTGTATTCTTGTCATCACTGCATATATACTGCGAGACTCTTGTTATACAAAGTAGATGAATGTGCGCAAAAGCATGCAAGTCATGTGATTGGCTTGTTTATGATTATTATTCACGCTCTTATCGATCTTAGCATATACTGAGGAGAGGGGTCCAGTTTCAAGCAATTTCTAGAGACGGAAAGATGTTCATTCTCTCCATTATAATTACTAGACTGTTCTTACTTCGCTTTGTACTACTGGAAACTGACGGGAAAATTTTTTATCACAAAAGTAAAAAAATATACAAGCCCATTTGTAATTTAGTAATTCCTGAGCAGAAACAGGTTTCCTGTGACAACTCGCAATTATCACCCAACCTCCACTTGACCAAATCTGTACACATCACAGGCAAATTCGAGTCGAAATAAATGAAATAAATGGCGTCCCATCAACTTTTACATCCTGCTCATGCATAGTCACCGCATTTTTACTGCTCCTTGCTCTGCCTCCGTCTCTCTTCCTACTTTTTATCATAAAACAACATCCTAACACACAGACGACGTGCAGGCAAATATTGCTACTCATATCATCACCATTTAATATACATTGCGAATATTAACACAACTTCTGAGGTAAGTTAAGTACTATGTACACAACATAAAAAACACCAACGGTATTATCGTTTATATTACAATAATATCCCTACTACCTACACACCTCTACTTTGTTAATTCAAAAACCAATCCTTCTTGCCCGGTCTCGTGCCGAGTATAGAATACTTCCTGCACATCCCATGCTTAATTCTTAATTCTCTCGCATTTAACATTAGATCTGCTTCCATTAGTAGAGGTTGTATGTAAAGCATATTAATAGTAAAATAGCTCAATATTTGAGCTATAAAACGAGTAATAATACCCCCCCAAAGCACTTAATATCACTAACGGCACACTTTCATTCTTTACAAAACGGCAGCAGGCCTGCACTGTCATACTCACAATCTCCAATACACATTCCCTCACTTCACCCTCTCTCTATCCACATCAACACTGGCAGTAATACGACTGACGATTACGACGGAGATATCAGAGAGTAAGACGACACGATCTTTTCCTTCGTAGCGGGACATATCGAATAGCTATCTATTCGAATATTCGAACATTATTATTATTGCTACCATTATCACAAAAAGACATTTAAAAGCCACAAGTTAATCGACGTAAAGCGTACGAACTCGACCAAGCTGCAATAATAATGTCGGTCAGGCAGCAAAGTATCCCAGCTGCATTTGAAATACGCTTCACGGATGCTGTAAGTATCATATCACAATGTTGTAAAGTGACAGATTAATCAATATACGAATTTTGAATGATTATTCAGATGGCGCTAACAACTTTAGCGTAGCGTCAGATCTTTTATTCTAGTTTCCCCCGGTATAAAGATCAATCGAAACAACCGCACATTATATTTACAACTCATCCTTTACGTTATATTCTTTCGTAATAGTCGGTAGAGGTACACGAAATAGCGCATGATCCAATTCCAGAACCATTCAAGAAACGTGATAAAATACCGCGTAATTCGGGATCTTTCGTTTCGCCCGAGCGACTATCGGGTGCGGACGCACAGTCTCAGCCAACAACACAAAAATGGAGCAAGCGTCATTTTGGTGAGAAGCCTATAAATACTCCTCAGAAAAACGGCATCTTCCCTGGACAAAAGGGACGACAAAATGTCATAAACAGAAAATTCAATGACAACAATTCTGTCGATGAGAATACAGTGATAACGGACGCTCAGAAAGAAAAATTATCGCACATTTCAACCCCGAAGCGCCTATCACGTTCTAAGCGCACCCATTCATCTAGCGAGTCACTTTCCGACCATCAAGTTGTTCCGAATAACAAAATACCAAAACGTAAGAGCAACACATCTACAAAAGCCATGTCAAAAACACAACCTTTATCGTCACCGCGAAGATATTCATCAGATTCAAAACTCCGACCAACTTCTGGGCTCTCAACACCTCCAACAACACCTCCTCCAACACCCCCCAATAACGCCACCGTGCCTGATAACCGTACATCCATTGACACTAGTGCACCAAGTACACCACCATCATTTTTACCAACACCAAAACCACGACTCAACCTTTCTACCTCTCCACCAATAATCACACCATTCTCGGTCGAATTATCGGAATCACCCGTCGAAGAATATCCACCACCGTCGATAACGCCGACGATTCCCCATGATGAAGTCATAATACCAACAGTTGCGAAGAAGCTCCGCAAGACCCGCCAATACAGCGAAACCGGATACACAGACGTCACGGATCAAGTAGAAAACCTCTTTAGTAACCCATCTTCCCCTCGACCAAATGCACGCCGCCAAGGATCCAGTCCGACGACACGAAGACGGCCGAATAGCAGATACAAGTCTGGATCCGGTCGACAAAGTTCGTACGAGGTTAGAACAGATATACACCGAGTCCCTTACAATAATCACGGGCGTGACCAAGAGTATGAGAAGGCAGAGGATAATGTAAGTTTTACCATGTATAAGCCAGTCGATAATGAAAAAGTAGTAGATGAAAGCGATAGTGAAGCCAATAGGCTCCGAAAGGGGCGAAGGGCTAGGAGGGAAGAATGGGTTATGGTTGTCAGGGATGAAGATGAAGAGAGTGCTGAGCAAACAAGTCAAACCGATATGGTGGGTTGCTGGATTTTAGTATTACAGTTCATCATTTTCGTATATTACTTTCATTGGGATACTAGAGGCCCAATGGGTAAGTTTTAACATGCTAAGAATTTCTAATTGTGCCTTCACACATAACAATTCTTTTGTTTTGTTTCGTTAGTATGATACTCCAGCATCAACCGAGTTGCCTGGAACAGGTACATCAAATGGCAATGAGAAGGACGTGAATGCTGATATGGTACGCATATATGTTCTATTACGTCCAATTCTTATGGTGGAATACGCTAACAGTCGTCCCGTTCATCTTTCTACTACATAGGGATCACGGACAAACGCATATCCGTTTTTGCAACAAGGAAACCCCAAGATTGTCATACACCCTGATAACGTCAATCAACGCCCATACACGCTCGAATTGGAGAAAACACTTACTCACGCTTCGATTGGAGACAAGAGAGGCAAAAAGGACAAGAAGAATAAGAAGAATAAGAAACAAGAAAAGGGCAATGGGATTACCGATGAGAACGAAGACGAACTTGTCAAACAGTCCAAGTGTTGCTGTGTTATTTGCTGAGATTTTTTTTTTTTTTTTGGAATTTGTGTTTTTGGGGATATTGGGGATATTAGGGTTTATTGGGAGATCCGGTTCATCATATACTGGTACTATGCGAGAAAATGTTATTATTTTTTTATCGGCTAGCCTTTGTCAAATAGTGTGATATATTGGTCCGGACAATTCTGTTCATTTTCTCATGTAAAACATTGTAGTTTGGGTGAAGTCTACTGTCAATTTCACACACAAATACCTTTTAACCCTCCCAACCCTCAGGAAGGGAATGGACTTTGTGTCCGAACGAACATTGTTCTCTTTTTATTTTTTTTGTTAGTTTTTTTGTATTGTTATTGTTATCATGAAAAGAAAAGACATTTGTAGGATAGAACAATTCGATTCTGTTTGTAAATCATCCGAACATTGCTGGTTATTTTTCTATTTTTGAATTAGAAATGTAGATGGCAATGAATTTATATCGAAAAAAAAACAGCCCCCACGCTTGTTTTATATCTATTCGTGTTTCTAGCTTTACGCCTAGAAATTTAACAGGAAAAAGAAACCATAGGCACTTTGATATGTTTTTTTGATATACTATATAACAAATATTTAAAGTCTCGGCTCTCTGAATGAGAAAACACACAAAAAGTGTTGCATCGAACGGCAATCTCCTATACTGCTAGAAAGATACGATTGTTATACTCACCTGGTGTGAATAATACCATTTGTGATGTCTGTATTCCATTGCATCGGTGGTATCCGTATTAACATGTCCGTTCAAAGTGTCCGCAATGGCACTCATAATTTAAAATCATTATGTTCACTAAAAGTCGCTTTTCTGGAAAAATCACCGAACATCGATAAAGTTATCGGGTGACAAGTCTGATATGTGCGGATGACATTTGGTGCGAAAAAAAAAAAGAGTTTGCTTTTGAAGTTCTGTGCCACAAGCTTAATAAATAGATGGCAAGTCCCAATTATGCAGGCGTATAGGGTCCCCCTTTTTGTTAACCTTCTTTGGTTGGACGCATGTCGGGAAAGACATTTTTAACCGTTGATTGAATGCCCAATCAAGCTGATCACCAGGTCCTGTATAATATTAATATTTGAGTCGATCCCTTTTAAATTTAGTTGAGATTTCCTTACTATTCAGACTAGCAATTAGTTAGACTCGCATTTGACTTGTAGAATCTAACCACGGGCACGTAAACAAGTCACAAATTCTTGTCAACGTGAACACACAGAGACTCTGACATAGCGAATTTTTTATTGTCTATCTCAATGTACTGAGAGTTGCTGTAAAATCGCTGGTTGTTGTTATTATTATAAATAGTCTATATAACTGCTTTACAATTTAATAACCTTGTACACAACTTATCGACTACTTCTTCAGTGTCCTCTGTTTCTCAGCATGTTCCACTATCTTCTTTTCAATAAACATACCCTGAGAGTAATGCAATTTTGGATCACTTAATATTTCCATCGCAGACAAAGACCAGCCAAAACTAGCATGCGAAACATACCTTGCGCTTTCTGACACTCTCCATATATTTTTTTGCCAAGTTCTCTCGGTCTGACTTCTCTCCCAAGTCCTCTAACTCTTCTTCCGTAGTAGGAACCCAGAATGGATCTTCGTCCAACATTTCAAAACTACAGGACAAGTTATTAATAGTGATTCCTATGAAATCAATGAACCAACTAATTCATCGTTACCAACTCACCCGCTGAATATTAGTTGTGGACTAGCAACGCCCGAGGTCTTTTTTCTCATCTCTGTTTGGAAATAAAGAGAATATCGTATTCTACTGCAATGTTATCATAACAAGTATTACTTATTCCACATTACCTTCTGCAAATCCAAAGCTCTCTACCACAGGCAAAAGAGCATGGATCGAAAAGAATGATGTCCCTTCTTTGAGCTCTTCAGAAACAATTTTGCCTTTTCGACGAGCAATTACTGCATATACCTTCCCAAGCACGTCAGCTAACGATAATTAAAAGAATAATGAGCACAGTACTTTCTTTCTACGGAAAACCAACAATCGAATCACTTATAACTCGGCCATTCGCATATATTAGAAACTACCCACTTACTTGTTGTCTGTATGTCACATGAATACATGGCACGCATCAGCCTAGGAGACCATTCAAGGAAAGCCTGTCGACATGCATCTCTCATCGTCGTCATAATCTGTCCAGCTAGCTGCGACCTTACTGTTAAACGAATTCAATCATGAGCTCACCATACAGCGAGTAAATGAGCACCATGCTACATTTTCAAACTGTACCATCTGCATTGTTTTCATCGACATTTACTGTAAAATCATCAACGAAATACACAACCCCCATCATTGGCTCTCCACACAACGGACCACTCTTGGTAACCATTTGAAAGCCAGTATGGACGCTTTCATCAAAAGATCTTAGACTCAATGTTGTATTCTGACTGTCATCCGCTACCAGGTTCTCGGCATCTAAAGCCGCTTGCACATTACGACGCCAGCTGATTTCGATTGGCATAATAGTTATGGACAAGGTCTCGATCGAAAGACAAACAAAAAAGCTCATTCTTCTTTAGAAAAGGATACGATCTTCTAGTATAATTTGATACTCGGTTCACAAGTATATTGGCACCAACGCGCTTTGGTCCGAATGCCCAAATCCTAACGCCATATATAATCCGATCGAATAATGTTCAATAAACATTGAAAAATATGATAACATGTATAGTATTTCATTATTCACCTGTCAACAACTCCTTTCCATAGGTCGTTATCCCCAGCCTTATCAAACTCCTTTTCCAACAACTCGAAAAACTCATCCGCATTTAACGATTTCTGGCCCTTAACAGCAACTCCCTTCAAGGCCTCATCCATATCCTCGTTATCATTCTTACCAGTTTTCTTATGCTGTTGTTCCTCTACCATGGATTTTATTGTAAGTACATGCTGGTCAAGAAATTCCATTATGTTTGTTGGTAATGGAACGGCACGTATCTTGAGCGTGCATTGTTTACTGGTAGTAGACATTGTAATCTGTCCTCGAGGAGTCAAAGGATCTTTTAAAGGAGTTGAATCTGCAAACGATGGGATAGCAAAAAGTTTGCGTATAAATATATAAATTTATATGTTTGTAATTATAATATTTTTATAAATAATCCGTAAGTACCTGCAACAGGCGCAATAGTCTCTCTAAATGGGACAATTGGTGACGATACTTGGATTTCAATCTTGGCAAATCGTTCTCGAAGATCTCTAAGACACCTCTTATAGAACAAGTTATTACGTTAGCCAGAAATAATCACTGAACTGCGCATAGGCCAATCATAACTATATACCTCAAGGTGTACTTCGCCAGCGGCAAAGATGACATGCTCTCCAGTCTCTTGTATGAGTACCTCGACACACGAATCAGCTTGGTTTAGTAAACGTAGTCCTTCAATAAGCTTTGACATCTCGGCTATTTCAATGTGATAAATAATAAATCGCGTTCAAACAGCAAAAACCAAGTAGTAAGTAAAAGAATTTGTATCGAGCGTCCCAATGCCGTCACATAATTATCTTACATACATGGATCAGCTGGCTCAAGCGCAACACGAACTATAGGCGCAGTCTATTTTGATAACAGTAAGCGTTAGTTAATTCACAAAGCTCCACAAATATATTCCACCATTCGAGTATGAAAACTCGATTACGTACCTTCAAACCAATCCCAACAAAATTATGACATTTCTTTGTGCTACTTATTGTTCCATTCTTCAACAAATGTCCTTCTAATCCACCAATACCAAATACATTCCCTGCCGAAACTTCTTGTAAGCTTTCAAGCTCCCGACCCATCATCAGATACAGACTCTCCACAGTTATTTCAGAGGAATATCTGTCGGGATATGCAGGATCAAATTTTGGGCCGAGTACGTATAGTTTTTGACCTACACGTATCTTCCCCGAATATAATCTGGCAAATCCAATAAATGCCACTTTCGGAGAGTCTTCTTTCCCATCCGTTTCGTCATCTTCCGTAACACCGTCTGACTCTGCTGTCCTTTTAATATCACTTTCTTCAGTCTTGGTTGTTTTCGTGACGTCGCTATTCGCTACATCGTTGTCTCCTTCTGTAACAGAATTAGTCTCTGCTAATCTTCTCTCTCTCCGTATTCTTGCATTTTCTCTCAATTCTTCGGCTGTAAATTGCCTCCTTCTATTCTCGGGCAATAATGCCGATGGAACGGCAAACATTTTTGATACAAATGCAACGACTGGGGCGGAATCACTTGTATCGCACGAGTATAGTTTGCTTTCAACGTCATCTTTGGGCGTTTCGATTTTGTCACTGTGCGGGTATATCAATCGAGGAAGACGTATTGGTTGAGCTGCTTTTGGAGATGGGAGCTGTTCTACTACTGCGAGTATGAACGCAGAGTCAAGGGATAGTCGGATGTCAATAAAGTGAAAGATGTGGAAATTAAAACAATATCATGGAAAAAGGATATGTAGTACTGCTGGGGACAGAGGAAGCCATTGGCCGAATATTGTTGTCAATAATGATCGCGTGTCATTTGACCGCATATCTCGTGGCAGAACTTTTAGATTAAGCGCCTTTACTATTTTCTCGATCTTTTCGCGGTTGCTAAAATAAAAAGATTGACAAGTCAACGGACTAGTAACACAATGCGTGAAATTTAATCTCATACTCACTTGTTAAGTACTACTGCGTCGTAAACATTCCAAATATTTTCCAATACAAACTGCACAAACATGGGCTTCAATTGACGACCTCTCAAGTGTTTCTGCAACAAGATTCGTTTTGTCTTTGGCTCAAGATAATAATCACCCCAGAGCACTTTACGGAGCAGGCTCTCCTTGACATTTAACTTGGCAGCATAGATTCGGGCAAATTGTTCTACTCTTTGGTATATATTGGGGCAATATCATAAGTAAAGCTTCCATACACATAAGCATATCACGTCGATTGTATATTACCTGAATGCCCAGCCATCAATGGCACTGCAGAATATAACATTCCCTGCATCGGGTGCAAAATATATATTCGAATCATCTCGTTCTTCAAATAAATCTTCTGAAGCATCTTGAAGAGATTTGTTGCCATCCTTGTCCTCAGTCTAATAAAAATAGAATTCGTTTCAATATGTTAATACTAGTGCTAATAGAGATTAACGTCGCACTTTGCATAACAAAGTCAACACACCTGTGCAGCTTCCTGCCGCCTGCCCTCTTCCTCAAGCATAGCTCCAGCATAAAAAGTTCCCATAACTGCATTTACTTGCTCAAGTACTTTTATCAGATGAATATGAGCTTCCATTGGAGTAAGTTTTAATTCTGTAATCAAGCGATCAATTTTGTTGAGGACCAAGACTGGCCGAACATTCTCTATTAATGCTTGTCGGAGGACCGTGTGTGTCTTAATGGTGTCAAATCAATTAATAGTATTAGAAAAGGTTTTGGAATAAGGAATGTGTTATCATATAAATTTGGTCATAATAGATTCGGGAGAAATTGCCATCAGAGCGCAAGTTAGACGCGTATATCATTCAAATATACTCTGTACTCTCGCTATATGATGAGTAGCACACACAATCCTTCTCTCTAACGCTCTCCTGTTAACCACACCTGCGTACAAACGCCCTCAACCACATCAACTAGTATCAGGGCACCATCACACAGCCTTGAAGCTGTAAACACCTCGCTGGAAAAATCAACGTGTCCGGGGGAATCAATAAGATTTATGAGATATTCATCAGAACGTTCTTTAAGATTCGATAAAGTTTATTTTTGATTTTAAGGGAAATAAACAAGTAAATACAGATAGAGAGTAGAAAGAAATATATCATAAGAATTGAGTAAATATGATCAAAGGCAAATCGATGGTTAAAATTGTGATTAAAAAAAAAAGGAAGAGACAAGAACAATCTCACCTTCTGCGCCAATTCGTAAGACTTTAAAGTAGAGTGATATTCCGCTCGCTTCCATGGTTATCCCTCGTTCTTGCTCGTCTTCTCGGCTATCGAGATACCGTACTCTGCCAGCAAGTTTAGAGGAAATAATACCATTCGATGCGAGTAAGGAATCTGATAATGTGGTTTTGCCGTGATCAACATGTGCTAGTATGCAAATGTTTCGGATATTGTCTGTTTGAGACTGTAGCTTGACTAGTTGACTAATTGATACAGGCATGATTAAATGAAAAGATCGAACTGCGCAGAAGAAAATATTTATGGTGTTGCACAAAAGTGGGGTTTATATACTAATACCTGCGCAATGACGTAATTATAATTTTGAATGTCAAAAAAGCATGCGAGCAAAAAGATTCAGTCACTCTGACATTCCTGGAATAGGAGGATGGATTTCGGCATCAAGAATTAATAATTTCAAAACTCATAAATATCATTATAAACCCCCAGTTTTACAAAAGCTTTAGTTAGTGTGACGATACAGTCATACCTCTCGAGAAAATTAGCGACTGTTAGGAGGGTATGACCGCAGACAGTAATCTGTACATTGGTTTATACAAAATTTTCTTTATATCCGAAATCCCTTATAACCAAGATATGCCAAGATTAGACGTACTACTTTAAATATCACTGCAAAATACCAGTCAATACCAAGTATATATTTTTATGTCAGTTAACAATATACTAAAAGCACAAACACAATTCCGGCAGATAATGGCGCAAAGCACCAACTGCGCTATAGATCCTACAATTGTATTGTTCCAGCTTTCTAGCCGTATCAGCAAACATATTTCATCAATAAATATTGTCAACTCATCACTTACTTCGTTTTCATCCTACGACGTCAACTTTATCTTTTAACCCTTATTGCAATTATTTATACGAATTCATCAATGCCCCTTTCTGAGTTAATTCAGGCTTTAAGACACGAAGACATAGTGACGGCTACATAAATCCAGCGTGCGTTTAACGAGACGTAGTATTATTTAATAGTCTGATGTTAGATGAGCAAACAATTGAACGAATTCTAATTATGTACTCGTCAATCGATGAATGCTCTTTATTGAAACATAAAGTAATATTATTACTAATAAATGAATACAGATTCCGCCCATAAGAAGCATATTAGACAATTACGTACTGCGCCTATCAGAATATTACCGTCAATACATAGCAATCTATCTATCAAGTCTAGACAAGATTTTTACAATGCTTTGAAGAAAAGACCAACACATACAAACAATTATCTTGGTAAAAAAAAATCGCTCGTTGCTTGCTGTTTTCGTGACAAAAAACTCTGCTGCGTATTTCTTGTTAGCTATAATTGGAAATTTTGCCAATAAGTTTTCCAAAGCCAATAATAACTGTAAAGAAAATTCTTCTCTAGGATAATCATGTGTCACGACATTTTTCTTCATTCAACTCGATGTGTGATTACTTGCTTGTACTTTTAGCGGATAGTGCTGCTGCGTTTGTTAGTAATGACAAAGACAAAAAAGAGAATTTGTTCGTGTTGTGTTGAACGAAAATGAAACATTGTTATTATGTATGGCACCAATAAACGTCATGCCAAAAACTTGGAAAGGCTGAAACCCGAAAATCCTTTACACAAATATACCGAAAAAGGCTAGGCGTACGTAAATCTATGCACAAGTTACAAACATAAGATGAACGCTGTGTATGGTAAAACAGTATCAGATGTGCATGTAGTGAGGATAGCTTTAAGCGTTAACATTAATATTAACGCTAATTTAAAGGTTAATAGAATTGTTGTCTATATGAAGTAATCATCGAGATTATGTCGATTCCCATAGGCTATGTTTTTATCCCGTAAATTAAAATTAGCGAAATCTACTGCTTTCCTGTTATCTTGTTCCCTTATTGAGGCAAATCTCATATCATACATAAAAATTCACAATTCATTGTTCTCGAATTATCAAAATTACATAAAGATAAAAATAACAAATATTACACGGGCGTAAAAATATCCATATCAGTAATATTCTGTATAAGCCCAATCATGCTCGTAATACCCGGTCTAATCAGGTAACAGTAAGCAACAACTTGTCCTACAGTATCTGCAATTTCCAGATAACCATAAATACCCGTTCAATTTATTCAACAATCACTGTTCTTTCCCAATTATATTTTCTATACGTTCACTCTCTTTAATAACGACAGCTGGATTGAAGGAATAACGAACCCCTAGTAAAAAAAGAAAAGAAAAGAAGAAACCCCAATACAATCGAGGGCCTCCTTCATTAATCTATAACCCGAATTTCCATCCTCTTTCTTGCCATCATACACTTTCGAATCATTTGTTTATTCCTTCACATACTGTCAATAGTCCTATTACTCTTACTCTCTTTCGTAAAAACTAGCCATTCCAATATACATTTACAAAAAATGAAGCTCTCCGGTCTTTTCGTTCCATTCCTTGTCGTCGCTACTCAGGTAAACTAACTTATCTGTATCAAATCAATGCGTTCTTAATCCTTGATAACAAAAAACCGCTTAACAAATTTCTTTTGAATGCTCAGCTCGCCCTCGTACTAGCTGATGATCCAGAAAATGGCGTAGCTCTAGTTCCAGGTGCCTTTGGTGTATGGTCCGATTGCAGCACCTCACCAACAAAATATATAAGTATGTCTGTTACGTTTACTTAAAAGTTTAATTAGTTATCTGCATATCTCATACTCATTAACACTCTCACATACCTACCTACCATAGGCTATGCGTTAAGAGTCATCGATCAACCTCCCCCAGGCTTAGCACCAAAACCTAATTTTGGTAAAACAGTCAAGGGCTCGAACCCCGATCCCAAAACGTCTGCACAACTCAGTAATGTTCTCTTGACTTACCAAATGACTCAGAAGGATCTTAATAATCTCCTCAGTCCAGATCAAACTGCCGATTATCAAATCATACCATCGATGTCATGTCAGGACAAGCCGGTTCGAAAGTGTGATCGTGACACCGGTAAAGACCTGTTGAATGACAACGTGATCCAGTGCCTCGCTGTTATCAATCCCACTCCCAAAGATGTGTTTATGAATTTGAGCATATCCTTCACTACAAGTGTATTTGGTCCAAAGGCATTTACTAGCCCCGATGTTAATACTACTGGTTCAACCACGACAGGTGGTTCTAATAGCACTAATCTTCCGGCCGATTCTCCTCCTAGTTCGAACACAACAACGCCCCCTCCTGCTAGCTCCCAGAGCAATAATGCAATGGGAAGAATGGGAAGAGAACTACAAGGCTGGGGGGTTGTTATTGCGGCCATAATTGGATTGATTGGATTGGTTGGCGGGATTTAGAAGTAAACTTTTTTTACATCCATATATGGGCAAGAAGGTTAATTATTTTAGACCAATTGTAGAACAGGATTCTATATAGCTAGTCTAAAAAGGAATTTTTCAATCTAAAATTCTTGTTTCTGTGTTTTATAATCGGGAAGTATCGTCCTGTGGTAAATAATGTAATTTCTCTATTGTATATTTATTATTAAATATGTACTTACCCGAATAAACAAACTATCGCTACATAATATGTGTGACATTCGAAGGGGGCTGGCGCATAGAAGGCAAAACAGTAAAAATGCACAAATCATTTTGCATCATATCATGACTATAATACAGGTCAAACCTGTTTAAATCGGCGGACCTGGTTTGCCGATTCTTGGCCGGTTTAGCTAAGGACTGGTTCAAAAAATTGTTCAACTAGAGAAAGTTTCTAATTAATGAAAGTTTGGTGTAGTCTTGAGGCGGCCGGTTAAGCCCGAGACCGGTTTAATCAGCGCCGGTTTAAACAGGTTTGACCTGTACCTCCGTTTTATTATCCAAATTCGACAGACACGTATAGAGATGGAGACTGACAAAAATTTATTGGCCAGCCTTGGCTGATACGAAATTTTTGCCTTCAGTCGGTCATTCCAATTTACTATTACCTCAGTAACATATGCATATATATTTTATTAATTCACATCAACTCTTCATGCTCTTGAGCAATATCAGTAGTCCATCTGACAGATTAAGATGGTAAAAACAAGGAAAACCAATTATCACGCCAATTCCTTAGCGTATATATAACTGAAATAATATCACCTAAACAAGCGTGTTTGAGATAATAATAATAAGAAAACACATCGAATTATGCATGTCAATATCCTAATACACATAATCTCCGTTATCTAATAGAATGCTATTAGTTTGCTTTCCGTCGGCTTGACATAGTCAAATGTGTATGTATATGTACATGATTCCATTGAACCATAATATGCTTCGTTATTATTTTCCTCTCCCCATTTCCCACTCCCTTTTTTCTCATAAACTGACTTGTTCGACATATGCAGCAATATTTGCCTATTGATGAAGGATCTTATCGCCCGGTCAACTTGGTCATAAGCATTTTACACACTATATATAGTATAAATTTTATTAACCTAGTCGGCCATACATACCTTATTTAGTAAAAATTTATCAGCTTAGTCGATCAGCTGAGTATACATTATATAGTAAAGTTTTCATCGGCCTGGGTCAGCCATAAACCATTTCGGCCGGGCCAGGCTGACTAGACACACGTAATTAATTTTTTTTCGAACGAATCATGTTTAATATTTTGGTATCAGATGACGGTATACTAGCATACGAAAATTAAATATAATAATTATTCATATAATGCGTGCAAAACTTTTTGTTATTGGGAATGGTAACATGGAATACTATTGTTTGAAAAGCCACAGGCACAGGCAAGTCTACTCGAGTAAGAAAGTTATTTCAGATTCCCAATGGAGACAGAGCAGCTGTAGTAATATTGCAGAATAAATCACTCACCGCTCGTATGAGTTATGCTTCTCTGACCCTCTAAAGGAATATAAGTAAGGTGGGATATGAATGATACTACGGGGTTAGCATTCAATATTAATTTAAGATGCAATATAATATTAATATTTATTGAGCATTGGTATTACTTTTTGAGGTCAACGTTAAGTAAAAGAGTCGTTGATTAAGCTTGATATATTTAGTATTGGTTCTGATTTTTCTCTTCTACCAATATATGAACAGTTTTGTACAGTACAAGTACCAAATTTCATTAAAATGCTCATGTAAGAGAGGAAAAAAAGTGATATTCTAGCAAGCAATTAGAGTCCCATTAAATAATATAAGGTTTTGGTTAAATTTATGCCTCTATTCATATTCAAGACAATTGACTTTTTTCTTTTTCTTTTCTTTCATCTAAGGTTCAGCTTACTGCCACAGAAGCTGTGCATATAAGTTTCATTACAGTGTTATCTGTTTTTGTTACTACGATCTTCCGATTAATGGTTAACATGTTATATCATCATTTATTTGGCACCAATTGTGAACACGGAAAACAATCTGTTTGTAGGATCTGATGATAACTTCAACAAAAGGAATAAGGTATATAATAATTATTGAAGTATTTTATCCCGAAAATAGTCATGTAATTTGGATACTTTTTTTAGTCTAGTACTACGTATCTTTACCTGATAACAATGAGAATTCAACAATAAGCTAAACTATGTGATGATGTCAATAATCATATAAATTGCATGATAGTTATTGTTCTATCTGAGATAATTGTTCGACACATAAAAATATACCCTAATTACTATTGCCGAGCTAACTGTCGCGGGGGAGGGAGGGTTCAGTAATTGGTTTTGGGATTTAGTTGTTTCAATCGAGGCTTGGGTAAGCTTAAATCGCTAATACTGTTGCGGCGAGTAAAAATCTTCCTCTAATGTCAAACAAACACCTGATCGATTAGTTCTTAATAATATCTTATTTACGTAGCCCCTTACGTGACACAGTACAAGCACGCGAAAGAGATATAAATACAAGTCGGATTCCATCGTCTAATAAAAAGCTCATTGAAATTAGTTTACTTTCACGTGTCTAGGGTTGATACAATACGGACTATCGATTAGAACGGAAGATGTTGGTACGTAGTTACGCGAATAGCGGGAAGTGTTAATCTATCGACAGGCTCAACCCTTCTTATAAATAAACGTATAAAGTAAATTTAACATCGCATAGGAGTGGTTAAGCGCGCGAATAACTTATTAATCACTCGAAGCATAGTTCAGTAAGGACAGTAATACGAGCTAAGCTTGGTAACATCCCTCGGTTGGTAAACACACCTACACGAAAGATAATATCTCTCTCCCGCTCAAATATATATATTTGAATTACCATGGAATCAAATGCCCATAATAATAATAATAATAATAATAATAATAATAAGACCAATGTGTCAAACACCCCTGTTTAAAGAGGGCGTCGTCGTGGAGATCACTGTTCAACTCGGGATTTGGAACGTCCAGACTCAGCAAAATGGGATTGTCAGTTGCTCACAAGGAGGTTTTAATTTTGCCACAAATGTTGGCGAAAGAAAATCAGGGCTCCTGATGTGGCAGCTTTATGACAAGCAAGCACATCGAGCTGTAGAGCAGTTTGTCTTACAATTGCAATTGATTGATCAAACTTTGCTTTGAGACTGTGAACAGTTACTGATTTCTTAGGTATACGTTAGCATTATGGTTAGACTGTCAATGGTACGATGATTTGCATTGAAATTGTTAGTTGAATTATTGGATAAAATCCATCATACGATGAAATTATTGGATAAGAATCCATCGTACGATGATTTGAATTGTTGGAATATGGTTAGACTGTTGATCCGATTGTATGATGATTTGCATTTAGAATGTAAACATGACTATACAATCTGACAGTAAAACTTTACAATATTTGACCTTTAATATTGTGATACGAATGCTTCGATACTTGACATCAGTTTGAAATGCTAAATTCAGATATAATTCATATTTCGATAGTTGAAGACATTTGCCTCTACACTAACGATGACAGAAATATCGAGCCGAGCAAGTTGTCATATGAATAGATTGTCATAATGAAAATGTATGCGGAGGTCGAATAATGTATTACATTATTAGGTACACGTCTTTGCTATTGCGATTTACTTCATAAAGTTCTATAGTTAAAATACTGAAGACAAACTAGCATTTCACAAACCTGTAGGAAATATGGTTATACCATATTACATCGTTGTTAAATTGCATCTATGATTCTTTGCAGTATCATCTAATAACTTGTCATCGAAAATTTGAGTATATGATAGATTATGGTTAACGCATATGCAATTATTATAGTCTTGATAATAAATAATAAAATACGTTGCTTTCCCTTCATTGATTATTCAATTCCAATTTGACATAAATTCCAAATTGGCATACAACAATACTGTACGTGTATAATAAATTTACTATTACTATGCCGTATAGTTATATTTTCGTACTAGATGAAGAGAAAAAAGTAATAGACTATAAAAACACCTCTTGCCCTTGGAAAGGTGGGGCGTAACAATAATAGAGGTATACGAAATTTGCCACAAAGATTTACACATAGTTTACGGTAAACGAAATATTTGAAGGTCAGCATCAGGAAAAATCAATAATAAAAAAAGTCAGTAAATGCATCTTGCATTATTTATTAGTTGCACCTACAAAATGTGCGTAACACAAATATTGAGGGGAAAAAAACCAAACTTTTAATTCAAACTATGTCGTTAGCATCAGGGGTTGTTAATAATCCAGCAATTGACAACTTGGTTCAATCCTCCTTGGAAAGTGAACATGACTTAAGACTTGAATGGATTCCTTACGAAAAATTCACCGACATAAAACCAACTCAAATTGACAACGTCTACTGCGCTAGTCGTCGCCGCTATGAGATAATATTTACTAATGAGATAACGCTGATATTCCTCGGAAACAACAAAGAATGTTCACCAACACTTGTGAGTGAGCTTGCTAGAATATACTCACTTCCAACACACAAGTACAAGAATAATGTCAGTAAATATAGACGATATTCCCGATGGCTTACGGAGCGCAACAAGCTCATTGATGGTTTTACCAAGTATAAAGACAAGTATTACATGGTTGCTGATAGAAAGTTTTACGATTGTTACGCTCGATATGGCTTCTGCACTGCATGTGGAATACTCCGATGTAGTCCCGTGTGGTGCATTTGCGGGCATAAACAATTA